CAAATCAGCATCAAAATTGTACTTTTCAGCGACGAAGTTCTTTATATCAAGCTCGCATGCAGGTTCCTAAAGTAAAACCGACAAAGGAATAACGCAATATGTAAATTGCAACAACTAACTGAATAAAACTACTGCAGAAACTCTACCTGACGACCAAACTGATTGCAGGGAAAAGCTGCAATCCGCAACCCCTCATCTTTATACTTCTTCATAAGTTCATTCAGCTGTTTGTAACTCTTATCAGTGTAGCCGCATTTCGAGGCAACATTGACCACAATGACCACTTGGTCTCTAAACCGATGCGTTTCAGCATAATAAAACTGCAGAATGGAACAAAGGATCAAATGATAAATCAAAACAACTAAAAAGTCCTCAGAATTTTACAGTTTGGTCTTGTGCATATCCACCAGATACCAAATGCTTACTTGTATTTACTCATTGAAACTTCGTTTCCATCAATATCTTTTGCTGTAAAATCGTAGAATTTCTTATCCGTCATCGTCGAATACCTGTCTAAAATTACAAGGGTGCGACCAGTTTGTCCCAAGACTTTACGCATCCCATTCATTTTCAAAAAAATTTTCTTTTAAAAAACCGAAATACCTCATTTTTTCTTCGAGACATTATTGCGAAAAGTAAGTCAACGAAGAAAAACCAGAAAACCAGAAAGTTTTCACATTGGAAAGGGATATCAGAACAACATCACTTCAAATACCGGTCGTTTAAAAAAATTACATCAAAGCTGCTCAAACACTCCAGTTATTAACTGTGCAATATGAATTAGACTCTCCCAGGACAATTATTTTTTGCAGTAAATTGCAACTTAAATAAGCATTTCACCGGAAGTACAACAGAGGTAATTCCACAGTCAAAAGTAGATTCTCTTAAAGAAAAACCGCTCTGGGATCTCTAAATTCCCTCCCTCCTCCAAATTCTCTTCCTAGATATCCTATAACGAATTCAGCTGTCGTCACCGTCGAAATAATATTTTTTAGCTGACAAGTTCAATTTCAAAAAACTTATTGTCGATTTAATATTTTTGTGCAGAAGTCTCTCTTTTAACAGCCTAAAAAATCATTTAAACCGAACAACTCCTGACAAGTTACACCTTACTCCAAAAACTACAGTAGCAGTCTTAAATCAAAGTCAAGACAGCTGAAGAAGATTAAGACAGTAGATAAAAACAAATCAGATGTTTGAAGCTATCGCTCTACATGATTCTACACCACATGTTTAAATTCATCTTCAATTTACCAATGTGAAAAATGCTTATTTTTACTAAATTTTCAACATTCATACAACCAAAACATTTAAAGGACCAAAAAGCCTAGATCAATGTTGGTAACAAATGTTTGTAAAAAGTATCCACAATAGGCAAGACCAAAAAATATCAGTAGCTATGATCAAAAAATTTAGTGAAGTAATTTTTGCAGCCCTTTGCATTCGTTACGTCCACCACCAAAACATCGATGAACAAACAGTGACCATAGCACAGAGTTCGTAGCACGAAATGTTTTTTCGAAGAAGCAACAACTCTTCAGCCTGATAAACGATTTTCACCACCAATAAACAGCAACATAACTGCACACAAAGAAGGCTCAATATTGCTTAGTTTACTGTTTTTCATATGAGCCTAAGGAGTGGACACCGCGGGAGGCTGACAGTGTCGGTCAGGCGTCTTAGTTAGCTCAGGGGTATTAGGGTAAACTACGTCTTACATCTGTCCCCTAACTCGTAAATATTCTCGAAAAAACTACAAAATAAGAACAACAGATGTTGTAAAATTTTAGTGACACTTTTAAAAGCGTTAAAAAATGTTTATACGCAGGAAAAAAGGGGCAGACTGATCTTTGAAAAGGGAGCATTATTCAGGCTTTTGAACCAAGTATAATTTGAAAAAAAAACCTTTAATTTAAACTAAAAAAACCTTTTCCAGCTTTGCTACACCGTAGTTAATAATGGTAGCGTATGTACGATTAGCTTGAAAAAACGTTTTTAGTTCTTCAATGCTTCAGTATTTTCGTAATTAACTGAAGAGAGAGCCAGTTTTTGAAAAGAAAACCTCCAGCAGATCAAATTCAAAATAGTACTAAATGACCAAAAATCAACTTTGACTACCAAATTTAAATTGCAACTGGAGCAGTACACAGATGGGATTGCCACAAATAATGGTGATACCCTAGAGCAGCAGTAGTAAAATGAGATACTCTGACTTGGAAAAAAGAATTCATCAAAAAACTCATTCCACTTAAATCTCATTTCAACACTTTCTGGAAGAAAAAAGTGAAAAGAAAAGGAAACTAAGAGTTGAACTGTATCACTCCGACGCAACGGAGGGAAATGGAGAGGGCTGACCAGAAAGAAATATTGGTCTTTACCTCAGTAAACCAGTTTTTCCGTTAAAGCTTTGCTCGCAACTGACAGTGCACTGTCATGATAAGAAATCGAGCATTTCTGAAGCAAACTTAAAGCCTGATGCACTCAGATGGTAAAACAAAAAAAGTGCAATTGAAAATCAACTTGATATAACACCAAAACTATGCGTATTTGAAGTCACAACAAAGTACCTCCTTCTAGATGCAACAAACATCAAACACCAACAAACAAATCATCAATTCCAAAATGTCAGCAAAATACTAGCAATTTTGAGTGCTTCAATGCTAACCGTAGAGCGTGTAGTTAAAGTATCTTTTGCTCTCCTTCAAAATTCCCTTTTAAATTACTCTCTTCAAAAACCCAGCAATATTTTTATCACAAATAATTACTGGATAGCGTGAAAACGAAATGAAGTTGTAGTACTTGTTACTACGATAGCAATACTTTTGGTTTCTTTTCCTAAACAACCTTCAAAAATTGATCTCATTCCCGCAAAAAATACTGTACTTCCCATTCTTCACCTCTACAGCACTTTGATGTCTTTCCGCGAAAGGCAAACTCTGATAAGATAACAACGATGAGCAATTTCAACTCTCTTTAAAGGTTAACTACATCCTGTTGGTAACTGTTAATCTTATCAATATTTGTCCAACAAAACAATTGCATTTTTGACTAGGAATTGCTAGATAGAAGAGGGCATAACTACTCCAACTGTTTTTTTTTT